CAGTCCCCTCAGTCAGCTTCCAGGCCTCTCAGTTAGCCCAGCTGAAGCCTCATGAACAGCAAGCACAAGGCAGGGATTCCTGAGAGGACAGTATGCCCTCAAGGCTGGACTTCTCCCATCCAAAATAAGATAAGATTGCTCTAGAGCCCAAACTATTTATACCCTTACCCAGCAGCCACCTGTTCAAGGGCCCACAAGATTGGTTAAGGCAGTATAAATATTCATGCTGCCCAATTACATTACTCCACACCTAAATATGTTTCACAATTATCTAGGTAGCCCTGGAGATGGAGATACAGTGTGAGGGTAATTAGTGAGGGTAATTAAACCAGCGACCTGTGAGTCATACTGCAGAAACGAAACAATCACATGCAGCTGCACTGGCTACAGTGAGCTAGAGCTAAGTTTGCCAAACTCAGAATTGCAGCCACACTGATTACTATAAGACAAGTTAAATTATCCAAACACAAAAATACAGCTTTACTGACTACAGTGAGCAAACTAAATCTATCTACTCCTACCACCTATCTAGGAGGACACTACATGACTGTAACATGCCTAATAGTAGATCACAAGATGTCTGCAGCAGAGGGCTTAGCTGTGTGACACATGTACTGTGCATGCACCCCAGAACATAAAAGCTACTGCATATTCACCAGGATTTACATGATTAACACATCTAGGAAAAATATTTTAGCCATGGAAATGATGATGACCCTGGGCGGTGCCTGAAAAAACGAGAGCACTGGACTCAATGCAGCACCTCTGGGCTACACTGTGCAGTGGGAATGTGGCACATGGAAAAAAAAATTTTTCTGTGTGCCCTAGAAGTAACGGGTTTTCTTTCAGTTCAGAATCACTCCAGTCATCATGTGTGAATGGGCTCTAATTATTATTATTATCATACAGGATTTATATAGCGCCAACAGTTTGCTCAGCGCTTTGACTCTAATAGTTTTTTTTAGTTGTTTTTTAAACGTCTATGTATTTTTAACTGTTTGTTTTCCTACTGTGTATTTACAAATAAAAATAACAACAACTATTGATTCATGACCAAAGTATTAGTGGTTATCTAAAGACACAGTGAAGCAGAAGCAGCCTCCTTTTGGCTGTGTTTTGTTTGATTGAGACTGAGCCGAAAAGGGACACTGCTGATGAGTCATTCACTTCTGTGGGTAAATTGCAGCTTAAGCTATTGGGTCTAGTCATTAACTACAAAGAAACATTTTATTTTAGTCGACCATTACATAGCCACTATACATTCCAGTTGAAGTGCAAATAATAGGGCCAAATAACCTGCACATTTTTTAAATAACTTATATTACATGTAAACCGGATGCAGAACCTTCTTCCAGGGTCATGCACTGCCCCTGCATGCCAGTTCATATGGTTGAGTCCATACATGTGATGCCTATCCATTCAGTTATATGGGCTGCCTGCATGCAACCTATTGCTAGTACAGAAAGATAAACAATCTCATCATATTGTTCAGGACTGGGTGCTTGTGTGAATGAGCCCTTAACATGATCAAGTCAATATTGTGACTATACTGTAGGTCACATTCCTGAAACACTGTCAAAGGTAGTTTAAAATCATTTTCACACAGAAACTGTACCCCAAATGAGCATATGGTACTCTCCATGTCTAAACATTTTTGCCTTCATATTTAAAGAATATGTAAACCCAATATTTCATATTCCTGATATGTGCCTGCTGTACCGTGTACTTGTATGTAAAAGTATGCTATTCTCCTTGTATTGCTTCCTTTGTGTGATATTCCTGGTGTTCCTGCCAGTCTGTCTGCTTTCCTGTTAAAAACTGACCACATCACACAGCATGGTCAGTTCTCTAGCTATGCTGGGAACTTCGTGTGCTCTCCGCCAATGGTCAGATATCTGTTGACAGCCCCCCCCCCCCCCCCCCTTTAATCACTCAGTGTTTCAAAGGGAAGATTGTTGTTCTGCTGTTTCTCCTTTCCCAACTCTTATGCAGTTAAGAACAGAGGGTACATATATACATTCAGATTCTTGCATAACATCTCTTTAATGAAACAGCTGAACTTGAATTAGTAATAGACAGTCATATTATTGCTGGGAACGTAATTAAAAAAAAGATACAAACATGCACTTTTTTTCCTGTAAAGGATGAGAGGGATGTATATAGATGTTTTAATATTATTCAGAAATTAGAAAATGGACATTTACTGTGTATTACTTCTCATCAATAAAGCTGGACAGAGAACATTCTTCTTGATATAGAGCCTCCAGTGAATTTTCCAGTTTTCTATTTGTAACCATAAGACAAGAATATCTTTAATAGCATGAGCCTTTTCAATATCTGAGTGTCCCCAATGAGTTGCCATTTCATTTTTGTGGAGCATCTGTGGCTGGTTTGTGCAACCTGAGGCCACTTTGATTACACAGTAATAGTTGCTTTGTGATTCAAACTAAAATTTTCAAAAATGAAGTGATACACCTGAGTGTATAAAAATGCTTATGCTTTATCAAAGTACCATATACTTACAGTGAGTCCTTTATATTTGCTGCTTTTTATACAAACGGGCAAGCAACAGACAATTCTGCTGTTACAGTATATGGGTTTCTGCTTTATCTGTTGACAAATAATTTTGCTTATTTTATTTTATTTGTCTCCTGTTATACTGTGTGTTTGTTTGGTTACCATTTACTATGGATTTTTTATTTGAAAATGTTATTAGGTTTTTTTCACAAAAGAAACAAGATAAACAGGAACCCTTTCCACACAATAAAGCGAGTACAAATAAACAATTCCTTGTAAAGGTTAATAGTATGATCAGGTATTCAGAAAATAATAATGCGTATAGACAGTCAGAGATGCACATCACAAACAGCATGCAAAGGGCTGAGCAAGGTCAAGTCTGAGTTCTTGACCCAACATTTAAGATGTCAGTTATGTAACATAAGTCCTCTACTCTGTAGTATAGTGAGATTCTCCAACGGAAAAAAAAATTTTTTTTGTGGAAAAAATAATGAAAAGAAAGTATTCCTATATGCTAATAAAGACAACTGAGAATAGAATAAGGGGAGGGGGAGAGGAAATAAGATCATAACAATAAGAACTATGACTTTAGGGATGTCAACAAATACAAATAATACTGATAATTACCCAAAGCTTTCAAAAAGAGATTTTCAGGTTTATCCTTGAACTGTTGCCTTAGTTTGTTTGTGTTGCAATGGCTATTTTAGTGATTTTCTTAGCATAAATATATGGTATAACACATTTAGTTATTGTATATTGTTTTAAGCTGCTGGGCTTCCTCTATTAATATGCTAATTAACCAGTTTGACTGGTTTCATGAAGCTCATGGAACAGGAAGTAATGTTGGCAAGAAGTTGGGGAGGGAACAAAGGACTTGAACACAGCCATAATTCCATAATAAAGAGGGAAGGGGACTCCACAGGACCAAATAAAGTCCGCGCAAAGAGGGATCTTCACCTGGGGATGACACTAAATCTACATCCCAAACTAAGTAACTGTTTAATTTATCCATATAGCATAAATTGTCCATGCTTGTTTTGCTAGGAAGAATAGATAGCTTGTGCTAGCTGAGTGTATTTTGTATGAATATTTTGTAATACCCTGTGTGTTAAGTATTGTTTTCCTAAAATTGTATGTAGCTTATATTTATAATAAATATGTTTAGAAAGGTACATTATTATACTACAGATTTTTTTTATGCTTCCTTGCTTTTCTTGTTAATACATTCCTCCAAATTCGATAACCATTTGCGCCATTTTTCTTCCTGCGTATAGTGCGCCAAATTCAGCTATTTCTTATTTTTTTTTCATTGATTGCACCAAATTCTAACTACAATAAAGACAGTTTGTCTCTTGTAAAACTGGAGCTAATTAAGACCAACTCTCTTTTGGCACACAGAAAGATTGAGGACAGAATGGATCCACAAAAATGTGTACATATGTAAAAGTCTGTTTAAATTGCAGTTAGTGGCAGTGTTATTGATAGTGTCATTATTTATGTATTATTTAATTATTTAGTCATTTCGTTAGTGTCATTTAACCACTTTAATACTGGACACTTTCACCCCCATTCCAACCTAGGCCAATTTTCAGCTTTCAGCACTGTCACACTTTGAACGCCAATTACTCAGTAATGCAACACTGTAACCAAATTCAATTTTTATATTTGTGTGAGATAGATAAAGCACTGTTCTTTTAATTATTTTTTTGTTATGTAAACAAAAAACACCGAACATTTTGAAAAAATGCACATATTTTCATTTTGTTATAAAGTTTGCAAATAAATAATCTTTTTTTCATAAATTTAGAACAAAATGTATTATTCTACTTTTCTTTGGTAAAGGTAACCCAAATCAGTTTATGTTATTAAGTCAGTGTGAATATTACAGATTCTACAAACTATGATATATATAATTGAAAATTGATCAATCCTGATGATCTCATTTATTGACAGCCATATAAATTGTTAAGGTCCTTAAAATGCCAGGACAGTACAAATACCCCCCCCCCCCCCCCCCCCAAGTGACCCCTTTTTGGAAAATAGATACTACCCCAAAGTATTTAGTAAGAGGCATGGAAAGTTTTTTGAAGTTGTAATTTTTTGTCATAATTTTTGGGAAAATGAAGAAAGTAAATAAAGTATACAGTATATACCGTATTTTTCGCTCCATAAGACGCCCCTGACCATAAGACGCACCTAGGTTTTAGAGGCAGAAAACAGGAAAAAAAAAATTCTGAACTAATGGACTGCAGACACAGTACAGGGATGACCAGAGACTGCGGACAGCACAGAGATGACCAGAGACTGCGGACAGCACAGAGATGACCAGAGACTGCGGACAGCACAGAGATGACCAGAGACTGCGGACAGCACAGGGATGACCAGAGACTGCGGACAGTACAGATGACTGCTGACCTTTGGGGAGGTGGGGAGCGGGTACCTGAATTTGACAGGTACCCGCTCCCACTTCCGTGGAGTTGTTCTTTCATCTTACCTGTTCCTCGATGCGGCCGCGCGCTGTCTTCCCGGCTTCTGTAATGGCGCTCGGCATGACAGCCGGGTGCCCAGTGCGCATGAGCGAGAAGCACTTGCGCTTTGTGATTGGTCCGGCGGCTTCTGGGATCAGTCATGTGTCCCAGGTACCGCCTTACCATTCACAAAAAGCACCGCTTCTTGCGCATGCGCACTTGGCACCCGGCTGTCATGCCCAGTGCCCGCACTACAGAAGCCGGAAGACAGCGCGCCGCTGGATAGAGGAACAGGTAAGGTCAAAGAACAAAGAAGTAAGAGCGGGTACCTGTCCAATTCAGGTACCCGCTCCCCACCTCCCCAAAGGTCAGCAGTCCTCTCCTTAAGGTCCCGCTGCAGAGCTGAGCGGCCGGCCCGGTATTCTGCACGGCGGCGGTGGAAATACTGGACCAGCCGCTCTATATTCGCTCCATAAGACGCACTGACATTTTCCCCCCTTTTTTGGGGGGGAAAAAGTGCATCTTATGGAGCGAAAAATACGGTATTTGATTTACATACTGTCACCAGTGCAGTACAGCATTATCATATGACTGGGGTGGCGGTGATCAGGGATACTGACTGGTGACAGTATGTAAAAAAGAAAAAATATAATGATTGACTATTTTTACATTTTTTTTACAATTTTTTTTCTTCCAATCTGTTCAGTTGACAATGTGTTAGAAAGTCTTATATTAGTATTACGTTGCTGAGACTCAGGAATATCTTCAATAGGAATAATTTCACTGCTAATTAGTAATTTCATTACTAATTTCACTATCTATTCTCGACAGAGATGTGTATGCCAGTTAAAGCAGCATCAGTCCAAATTGAAGCACCAGTGCCAGTTCTCCTCTGAGATGTGCATGCCAGTTAGAGCAACATCACTCAAAATTGTGGTGCCAGCTCTTCTCTGAGATGCACACGTCATTTAGAACAGCATCACGCCAAATTGCAATAGGGAAATCAGCGCACCAGTTTCTCTCAAAAAGAGGGGTGCAACAATTAGACCAGCATTGTGCCAGAGTGCAATAGGATGTGCCAAAAACAATAGAAATCTTAATGTGTCAGTTCCCCTCAGAAGAACCTGCAACATTTTAAAAGTAATGCGCCAAATTCAATAGCAAGCTTAATATGCCAATTCCCCTTAGAAGAGACAACAGAGTGTAACAATTTGAACATTTTGCATTCACTCTCAAAGTGTGATAAGAGTAGAATTCCAGTTTTACTCAGAAGAGGTGGGAGATGAATAGAAAAGTATTGCGGCAAAATCATTCAATCACTTTCTCACTGCCCCAAGACACTTTTATTAAGTCTGTCTGTGCCAGCTTTTATGAATTCTAGGGACAGAGTATTACAAAATATGCATACAATATACACATGCACAAGCTAGCAAGTGAGAATGGACAATGTATTGTCAACAGACATTATTCAAAGTAGTTTGTATGTAAAGCATTTTTAGTTAGTAAGACACATTAATACACTACAGAGGTTTGTATGCTTCCTTGCTTTTACCGCAAAGTGGCCTTAAAAGGCACAAAAGCAAAACAATCTTTAGCCCAAATCCCGGATGAGCCCCCAAATACTTTGCTTTGTGTGTTTTAAGGTTACCTTGTGGTAAAGGCAAGAAAGAATACAAATCTCTGTAGTGTATTAATGTGCCTTAATAAACAGAAATGCGGTACATACAAACTACCTACAATTTTAGGAAAACAATATATGACATGCAGAGAATTACAAAATATGCATAATATATACACATAGCACAAGCTATCTATTCTTCCTAGCAAATGAGCACAGACAATGTATGTTATAGGGATACACTAAACATTTACTTAACTTGGATTATAAATTTAGTGTCATCCCCAGGTGAAGATCCCTCCTTGCACAGACTTTCTTTGGTCCCATGGATTCCTCACCTGTCTTTATTATGGAGTCATCTTCCTTCTGTCCAGGGTCACTTCCAGGCTGCTCCTTGCTACTTGGAGTCCAAACTAGTAGTTTGTCTTCAGCACATGGCTGTGTGTTATGTCCTTTGTTCCCTCCCAGGGGCGGACTGACCATTTGGAAACTCGGGCACTGCCCGAGGGCCCGGGGTCAGTAGGGGGCCCCATGAGATGCCCCTGGTACCTTTTTCATAGGATTTTTTGAGTTTGGGCAAGGACACAGAGGCCCCATGATCCCCTATTGCCCGGGGGCCCCATGAGTTGTCAGTCCGCCCCTGTTCCCTCCCCTACTTCCTGCCAAAATCACTTCCTGTTCCATGAGCTGCATGAAACCAATCAAACAAGTTGATTAGCATATGAATAGAGGAAGCCCAGCTTCTAAAAACAATACATGGTAACTTAAATGTGTTATTTTGTATATTTATGCTATAAAAATCACTATAATAGCCATTGCAACACATTCCATCTTTTGATTTTTGTAGCAGAATATAGGACAAATTGGAAATTTAGCATTCCTCAGTAGCTCCTAAAGCTTTTGTCCAGAAAAGGGTGAAATAAACCCCCCATATGTACATGGAAGAAAAATATTCCCTTTTGACACTGTATGTTCTGCGGGATCAGACATTATCGCTGGACAAACTACAATGTTCTTTTAAGCAGGTTTAGCAATGTCCTTGGCAGTCTGTGTAACATAGATGAAAGGGCAATTCCAAATGAAAGTCCAATGTCATCCAGGCCATAAGGAAATGGTCAGATAAAAGTCCAGACTGTCATCAGGAATTCATCTGCATCTTCATCATGTTCTCTTTCCTTCTGGCTTGCCTTATCTTATCTGGCTTGATCATTTGATATGCCTGCTTCAGCTCTCAATGTTTATTACCTTAACCACTTGCTGCCCAGCCACTGTATAAAAATGGTGGCAGGGCGGTACGGCTGGGCAAAAGCACGTTTTAAAACGTGCTGTTGCGAAAGAGGTAGGTGGCGCGTGCGAGGCGCGCCGCAGCCCTACCTTCACCGCCGATCTCAGCCGCGGGTGTCAGTTGCCGGGTCACAGCCGGTTGTTATCAGCTGTGTCCTGGCGATTTGCGGCAATCAGTGACAGAGAGCAGGGCTGCAGTAGCTCTGCTTTCTGTCACTTCCCTGACAGTTCCTGACAAGCAGACCAGGAGAAAAGAGTTTCTCTGTCCTGATCTGCTTGTCTCTGTGCAGTACACCCCCCCGCCCCCTAGTAAAACACTCCCCTCACACAGTTAACCCTTTCAGTGCAAAAAAAAAGTTAATCCCTTCCTCCCCAGTGCCATTAGTACAGTGTCAGTGTTTTTTTTTTTTGCACTGATCACTGTATTGGTATCACTGGGGATGTCAGTGACTCCAGGTCAGTTCCCCCCCAGTGTCAGAATGTCCGCCGCAGTCCCGCAGTCCTTTCATAAGTCGCTGATCGCCGCCATAAGTCACTGATCGCCGCCATAAGTCGCTGATCGCCGCCATTATTAGTATAAAAAAAAAATTAAAAATCTGAGTATCTTTCCCGCCATTTGTAATCGCTATAACTTTCACGCAGACTAATTAATTTACACGTATTTGTTTTTTTTTTAGCAAAGACATATCGCAGAATGCATTTTGGTTGAAATTTATAACTAAATTTGATTTTTACATTTTTTTTTTACTGGACATGTTTTATAGCAGAAAGTACAAAATATTGTTTTTTTTCTCAAAATTGTCAGCCTTTTTTTTTTATAGCGCAAAAAATAAAAAATGCACAGGTGATCAAATACCACCGAAAGAAAGCTCTATTTGTGTGAAAAAGGACATAAATTTCATTTATGTACCGTATTGCATGACCGCGCAATTGTCCGTTAAACTAGCGCAGCGCGTATAGCAAAAAAATTGCGTAAATTGCAGTATCTATACCATAGTTTGTAGACGCTATAACGTTCACACAAAGCAATCAATATACACTTATTGGGATTTATTTTACCAAAAACATGTAGCAGAATACATTTTGGCCTAAATTTATAACTCATTTTGAGTTTACTATATATTTTTTATAGCTGAAAGTAAAAAATATCGTTTTTCTTCAAAATTTTTGGTCTTTTTTGTTTATTGCGTGAAAAATAAAAAGCGCACAGGTGATCAAATACCACTGAAAGAAAGCTCTGTTTGTGTGAAAAAAGGACGTAAATTTTGTTTGGGTGTAGCGTTGCATGACCGCGCAATTATCATTTGAATTAGTGCAGCGCCGAGTAGCAAAAAGAGGCCTGGTCATTAAGGGGGGTAAATCCTCAGGAGGGCCAGTGGTTAAAAGAGTGAAAAACAAGGCAGATTATATGTTCCTTCCAGCTGTGCCAAAACACATAGCTCACTGCTCACATTTCTTTATCTTCCTATTTCTGACTGCAAAATCCATGTAAGGTGCCCACTGTTGCCTTCCAGTGGAAAGAATGAAAAATATATCTTTTTCTGTGTTCTCCTGGGTACACTGGCCTGCTACTTGTCAGTCTTCACAGCATGGCACTCTCTAGCAATGTGTCCCAGTCCATGAAAAATAAACACCTAATGTGACTGAGTCTACCATTCCCAGCCCCTTGCTTCCACCTCTTAAACAAATCTGTGGAGGAATCTCATCTATTTCCTCTATAGGGATCCCACCTTATGTATGTCAGTCCACATTTTTCTCCTGGAGATCATAGGCCTTACCTTTCCTATTGCCTGATTCAACTTGGCCATCTTTATTTGAGTTGATCAGATCCACAGCTCCTGATTAGGTGAGGTAACAGTGGCACCTGTCCTATTTCTGCCTACAGGCTTTGGGTCTTTGTCCTTTGTTAGGACATCATTAGATGAGTTCATGAGGTCTGCACAGCACTCATTCAAATCTTCAGCTTTGTCTGCATTGGTCTGAACACACTTTGAAGCCACAGCAGGTTTGATTTTGAATGCTCTACCTTGCTTGCAGTGTCTTGCATGCATTTGGTCACCACTGCAAGGTGTTCTTTAAATTACAGTTGTTCTCTACCTTTGCTTTTTTTCCTCATTTTAGATTCTGTATGTATTATTATTATTATTATTATTATTACATCGAGTTTATATAGCGCCAAAGGGTTTGCTCAGCGCTGTACAATAGGGGGGACAAAACATGGCACAGTACAAAAAAAACAGACAGCGTACGAGGGGTAAGAGGGCCCTACTCTTTCAAGCTTACAATCTAGGAGGGAGGGGGTAGTGGAACAATAGGAAGTGGCTGAGGGGAATGAAGTGGTGGGAGGAATGAGGGAGAATGGCCATGAGGGAGTATGTAGAGCATGAGCAAGTGCTAACCAAACACTGTTACTGCCTGAATCTCTCCCTTTCTGAATTCAAAACTTTTAAGAATAGAATATGAAGAAAAGTCTGAGACTCCATTGTCCCACACTCTGTTTAA